GGTTTTCCATTATATCTAATGGGGAAAATTCGATCAGAACTCGAACTTTTTAGGATTCGATCCGGAGTTCTGAAAGGATTAAGTTTGAGTTCTGAGGTACCACTGTACAAGTAAGTAAAAAAACATCTGTTACCGAACCAGTGTTTGTTAATTAAGAGTCATTTAAGCTTGTGTTTTTTTTTTTTTGGGTGGGGGGGGCGTAGTAATGGCAGTTCATACCACCAGAGTTGGAGGTATGAATCCCACTGATCTACTAAATGTGTGTGAGTCTGAAATCTATGGCCTGCTGGTTTCCTCCAGGTACTCCACATTCCTGCCGCAGTCCAAAGACATGTAGTCGGAAACATGAGTCAATGCATGTGTGCGTGTTCCCTGAGATGGACTGGGATCCCATTCAGACTCTACCCCAGCCTTGCCAAGGATAGGCTCCCATACTCCCAGGGTCTGCTTACCTAAATGGGGATATATCAATAAATACACTTGAATAAATGAATCAATGCAGTTGAAATGAGATGTTGATGATGTGTATTAATGGTAACAGTGACTTAAAAATTACAGTCAGGATATTAAAATTGATACATTCCCATTGGGAAATTCTCTTTATGCCTCTGTAGGGGAGAGCAAGTGGGTTACAAAGGGCAGCCATCCATAGCAGCACCCAGAGAGGAAGGGGTTAAGGGCCTTGATCAAGGCCAGGCTCAAACCTGCGACCTTACAATCACAGGCACAGAGGCTTAGCACCACACTCTGCTGTACATATACCTGTAAAGGTAAGATATAAGCTCAACACGCAAGTTCAGCCTCGCCATCTTACGTTTGATGTAAAAAAAGCAAATAAATACACACCAGCACACAACTGTTTAGCGGAAGTGCATGCGTTACCAGCTGTATGTGCCTCTCGGTCGGCGGCTTTTTTCGAAAAGCTTTACTTTGCCGCTGTTGTCACGCCCACAGGGGCAGGGCCAGACAGGTGCAACACATCAACAGACGATTAGCCGCCAAAAAAGAAAAACCGAAAAGCCAACCCAAACCTTCCTCGCGAAGTATTGCGCTGATGTTTCACAGCCTTACCGAGCATTTGTTCTGTCTTTCGTTTAACCTTGCCTTACCTGTTAGCCCTGTGTGCTAACCTTACCTTTCTGCCTTCCCTCCTCAGTCTAGCTCCCGTACCTGACCCACCTGTCCTGCCTCTCCTGTTCGCCCCTCCTTGTGTTCCCCGGTCTTGTGTCTCTCCGTCGGGCGGAACCCTCTGGTATCGACCTCGGCTTACGGACAATGACCACGATTACTGCGCGCCGCTTCTGTTCCTACCTCTCAGCTTACCGAGTCGGTGACATCACCCCTGCCCGTCGCTCTCTTTCCGCTTACCTGGGCTGAAGAACGTGTGATCACACTCTGTGCCGTATTGAACATTTCCTGTATTCCTTCCCAAACCGACTCATTAAAGCTCTGTACTCCCTGCACTCCTGGATCCCTGCTTCTCTTCCTAGCCATACGTAACAGCTGTGATGCCGTATCAAATGTTTTTTAGTAAATTAGATGTGTTTTTCACTGTTGAAAGCGTTTTGCTGCTGGCACAAAGTTTACAACGAACGACAATGTTGTTTTCATCTTTACCTGACACAAAGTCGAAATAATGACTGTACTTCCAGCACTGCCCCCCCCCTGATAAATTTGCATATGCATGATATGCTTCTATGCTCAAATATGCGTTACAACAAATGCACTGTCAGCAAGGTGTTCTCGAATCACACGCGGGGGGAAGGGGGGGGCACAGAAAGCAGCAGCTCAGCGCGCCTCTGGTTATCGTCAACAAACGCCGGTCGCGAGCGGAGTTAAGGAAGAGGACTACCGGTGAGTGAGTAAGTCATTATTTCTAAAAAAGAAGAGTTGAAATTATTTGTTCTGTAAACTTTACCGGCTGGACTGACGTGTTTTTTTTAGTGCCGAATTTAATTACCTCGGTACTATACGCTATTTAACTTGCTTTCTGGCATGTAGATTTGTTTGCAAAAAAGCACAGCAACAGGCGAATAAAACTGTATTGAGTGTGTATAGCATGTACTTGATTACTGTATTTCAGTTTGTTTGCCAGTGGGCCATAATAAAATATACAAATGTACTTGTAATGCCTTTTTATTTTATTTTTTCATTTTTGGGAATATATGTAACATTTTAGTGTACATAAAGATGCAGCAACAGTCAAATAAGTCAAAGCTGTATTGAACATAATTGGAGACTAGTGTGGTGTTTTTAAACTTGGTTAAGCTTGTTCCCAGTAACAAAACAATTCATTGAATAACACGTATACATAACACATTAAAACCGGTTTATTGTGGAACTCAAAATGTTAATTGTACAATGTCATTGTAAGTCTATGCAC